TGACAAGTCATCTAAATAAGATTGTTATTGTTCATATAGATGACTTGCATGTAACACTATACATAATGTTACTGTTTATATAGATCACTTGCATGTAACACTACATAATGAGATAAGATTGTTACTGTTCATATAGATGACTTGCATGTAACACTATACATGAGATAAGATTGTTACTGTTTATATAGATGACTTGCACTCATTATGTATAGTTTCTTCTTTAGGTATTTCTTGTTACTATTTTCATTTAGTTCTTTCAATGTTACAGATCCAGGAAGCAGTCTGGACCTTTTGTCAATATTTTTTGACAAAGAATTTGCAATGGAGCAACATCTTTGTAGAGATCTTGTGTGTACATCGAGAACCCATGAAATAGGTAGGTAGTGTGTTCATCCAGAACCCGTGAAATAGATAGGCAGTATATAAATCCAGAATCTTTCCAGAACCCATGACACATGTAGGTAATGTATCAACACAGAATCTTTCTAAATTTCATTATGTTTTCTGGAATAACTTGTACATTATGTTATCTATGATGTTATTGGTGGGAGGTGAATGTCCAATATTTGTGGGTTGATTATGGGTAAAAACCTCCTCCTAATTCAAAAAGTTTTTTGTTATCGTTCTGTTATTTTGTTAAATCTCTAATTTTATAACTGCTCTGCACTCATTCTAACACTATGATGTGTCTAATTATTTTGTAATGGTCTGCCAAATTGTCATCTTTTAAAATATTTTTTTAATTTTATATATAAGTATGTGTATTCTTTTCTAAAGTTCATGCATTCAGAATCTTGTAAAAGTAAAGCTCAAGCTCTTATTACAGTTCAGGCAGGACCAACTTAATGTCTCACTCATGTATCTTATGTGGAACCACACTCCTCACATGCATGTGTTTCCACATTATTGTTCAGTGAGATTGTCTGCACTTTAGTTACCAGATGTTGGTGATGTTTAACAAGTTACCAGATGTTGGTGATGTTTAACAAGTTACCAGGTGTTGGTGATGTTTAACAAGTTACCAGCTGCTGATGATGTTTAACAAGTTACCAGCTGTTGGTGATGTTTAACAAGTTACCCTAGTTTATTAGAAGAGATGTATCAGAATTATTTTTATTTTTTTTCCACGAATATCTTGTTTCTTTGAATCTCTGACGATATCACTTCCAGGTGATGTGTTATAAATGTTTTTGATATTTCAGTAATTCCAGTGATATCAGTTAATAGCATTGACAACATGAAATGTACTGTGACTTTTAGAATCCAATTCTAATCAAAGGTTATTTATTTCAGTATGTTTAGAAACAGTTTAACCTATAGATGTGCTACAAAAGTTGTCGGATTGAGATGATCATCTTTAAAAACAACAAATTGATCTAAATGCCTAATAAGATTGAAAAATTTAGATTTAGTGGAAGCTGTTCTCTTTAGTGATAACAACTGCTACAAATATTTTCAACTTTAGTTTTAACAGCTGCTACTAAAGTGTGTAGCTATAATGGTAACAAAATTTTCATCTATTGGTAACAAATCTTACTGTAATGGACGTAGTTTGTAAGTCAGTATCTATGTATGTAACCAAAACTCCTGTGGTGCCCTCTATTGAATTGCATCACAAACAAAAATCCATAAAAATTTTCACATTTTGGGTATTCAATTTTCAGACAATTTGAAAAATAACTGTGGTATGTGCAACATTGATTTCTTTATAATAAAACACAATTTTAAATACAAGTACTCACCTCACAACAAGAACACGACTTTCAATAGGACTGTATGTGAGGGTATGATTAAATCTTTATTGATGTAAATTTTAAATGTAGTAGTGAGAAACTGGAGTTCTTAAAAACTATTGTTTTTACAATAAATAGTACCACTTTTAATATATAAAAACATTACAGCTTATATCAGTAAAATTTATGAAAATTTTGAGCTCTGTGCATTGAATCATTTTGATACAGTGAGTTGTGTGTGACTAAAGAGCACAATCAAAACACTTCCCATGCAGTACTTCCCAGAAAAAAATTCTTTTTTTTTGTATAAAATTTTCACTTTTTCTAAATATTTTTTCAATGAAGTCTGAATACTATGATTTGTAATTATTAGCATAAACAGCTGTGTTTAGGGTGGCATTTCTGCTAACACTAATAAAACGTTTAGCTCCAATAGCAACAGAAACTAATAGAGCATAAACAGCTGTGTTTAGGGTAGCATTTCTGCTAACACTAATAAAACGTTTAGCTCCAATAGCAACAGCAACTAATAGAATATTCTGCTCTAGGGTAACAGCTGCTACTAAGATATTGAATTCTAAGTTTTTAAACTACACATCTAATCCAGTATTTTAAATAAGTTTTCTCATTAATAAAAATGCTTATGAAGAATAGTTTAATAAAACATTTTTTTAATACACAACAACTTATTGTATCAAGAGATGCACTGAACAGTTTATAAATACAACATAGATAGTCATTCCTTGATTTATTAATGTCAAAACTGTATTAGACGTAGTCAAGGTGTAAAATTTAGTTGTGTTACGACAGCGGAAGTCGTGTGATGCTGAGAGCATGCGTGCTGGAGTCTCTCAATTTTGCCGAGGAACCACGCGAATGTCCGAATGTTTGCTAGACGCCCTCTTTTTTTAGTATGTAAGCCTGGCGAGAAAAACCAGCGGGATTGAAGATATAGATAATTGAGTCAAGCGAACAGTAGGGACAGTAAGTAAAGTATGTGAATCACTGTGATTTACAGCGTGTGTTATAAAGGTTGTTAAGTTTAAAGTGATTGTGGAAATTCTGTGTATTACAAAGTTGTATCGAGAAAGAACAAACTTGTTTTAATTAAGAAAGGACTTGTATCCCTGAAGTTCCTCGGAAAGAATTTATACCGGAAATTAACAAACAAGCAGATACGTAACAGTTGTATATTTTTCCTTTATGTTACCGTAAACAATTATTCTAGATATATATGTATCTTATTGTATATTTTCATTAGTTGTAGAATTAATTTTTTATTAATTTTCTTTCTTTGTATTTAAGAGTATCTTCAAGATTTGAGTGAAATTCTCTTGTACCTTTTACTGCCACCAGAAGATTTTCACAATAGAATGCTCAGGTTCTTCGTGAGGGTAAGTTAGAGTAGTAGGCTTAGGTCAGGTTGTTAGTAGGCTTAGACGACAACTTGTCATGTAACACACTATACATAATGAGATAAGATTGTTACTGTTCATAGACGACAACTTGTCATGTAACACACATATACAATGTCCAGAC